AGAAAAGAAAAGAAAAGAAAAGAAAAGAAAAGAAAAGAAAAGAAAAGAAAAGAAAAGAAAAGAAAAGAAAAGAATGAATTGGAAATACAGTGAGAAATATCTAAAAATTAGACTGGAGATATTTTTGCTGTTAGCCTTTTGGTGATGTCAGCCCTTCAAGGTAGACCAGACTTGGAAACCAGTGTTATGAATACCAAAATTACTTTTATTATAGGGTTACAGTAACAGAATCTTGGAAGCCTGAATGTGCCTCTCTCCACCCTGCCTTTATCTACAAGAGAACTAAGGAGGCTCAAGTCTGAGATGTTTTCTCAAATTACATTTCTGCTTTGGACTCAATTTCTTTATCTGACTTCTGTCTTGGTTGCAACTCTTCCTCCTGTTCCTCAAGGTTATTCTCATAGCCCATTATATCTACATGGAGATTTCTACTGTATAACCTTCTCCACCAGCATATCTATGCTAAGAGCTGTTGCCATGATATGGCCCAGGGTACATAACATAATTCAAGCAGTAAATCAACTATTTTTGATTAAAATTACAAAAACTGGAGTTATCGAACCGTAATTCATAGAATCACGGAATCATAAAATTGGATTTGGAGGTCATCGTTTAATTCGTAAAAGGCCTTTACACTGAAAAACATAAACTCTCACGCTGTGAGAGTTTGGTGGTGTTGAAGTGATGTTTGTTTAATTAGAGAGCTCCTACATTTTCTGAAGGTGGACTTAGTAGTCCATCCCTGTAGAAAGTTTGAGAAATACTACATTAGGAACAAAGAAATCGTACCAGGTGTTTCCTTCCCGTGAACCTTCTCCAAAGGTGCTGTAGGAACCATCAGAATGCTTGTAGTTCAGTTGCCTCTGATAGCCTGAAACAGAAGATGAACATTAACACAGCCCTTTCCGAATCCAATTGAATTATTCCGTTCAAGTTTCTGATTCATTTTGGAAAGTCAGTTTGTCTTAGAAATTGGATCAAACTGGCTTTGAATTTCCAAATCAAAATTGGAATATTATTTGGTATGTTTGGCTGCACCCCCACCCTCCTTCCCACAGGCTCCCTTCATGATCCTATGGGGACACAGGCCTTTGGCAACTGGGTGTGGCTGTTTAATGTTCCTAATTTTTAAACATGCCGTTTGTTTGTTTGTTTACAATTACACTTATAACCCTCCTTTCTCTTTGCATAAACACTCAAGGTAGCTTACAATAAACTGTAATTAACTCTAATTCTTCTCTGCTATTGCAGGACAACTGGACTGACCAGAAGAACAAGTCACTGAGCAATATCCCTAATGCCTTTTGTTACCAACATCTGGAAGGGTTCCAAGATGTCTCAGCCAATCAAATTTGTCCTAATGTACAACCTCCTCAATCAATACCAATGACCAATCTGCAGATCAAGCCTTCGAAAGCTCTCGACTTCAGCAGGAAAACAGTGAGAGGGGAATTCCTGTGGGATTGTCCTGGGATGCTTCTCACCAGCCACTAAGTATCCGATGGCCTTGGATTTGATCTCCTCGGTCAGTTGTCCAGTCTTATTGAGATAGTTCAGGATGTAGATATTGGGGGCAAGGAGGGCCATGTTCTGCTCTCCACAGCCATAGGGCATCTTGAGAAGCTGATGGAGGTTCTTTATCACTCCTCCTAAAATGTCTCCTGAGATGGGGAAAGAGGAAGACAGAAGACAGAGATAATCTTGGTGATTTTGATCCCCCCTCAGAAGATGTCACTGCTTTGAGTATCCAGACAAATCTACCTAACTTACTCCCAGCCTTAGTCACCCTCCTTCCCACAGGTTCCCTTCATGATCCTATGGGGACACAGGCCTTTGGCAACTGGGTGTGGCTGTTTAATGTTCCTAATTTTTACACATGCCGTTTGTTTGTTTGTTTACAATTACCACCAACCACACTGGCTATCCAACATGCTGGTGCCACAGGAATATACAGGGTTGGATCAGCTTCCAGACTGACCCAGGGGCCTTATATGGGAGTGCCCAGGGACAGAATAAAATTCCAAAATGATAGCACAGTTTCTCACTTACCCAGCACACAAAAGGAGGCTCTGGCTGAGTCTTCTACAACATTCCCTGGTAACTCCAGGGGAAAAGATTTGGACTCAGATTTTCCTATAAGAAAAACAGAACTTAGATCATGGTGCACTGCTGTTCTAGCTGGCCTCCTGGTGCATGCTCTGCTTAGACAGCTGAGCTGAAGGGCGTGGCACGGTAGTGATGTTAGCAGGAACCAGATTGTTCAAGAGACCCCTTCCATCCTTCCCTCAACCTTCTTCTCACCTAGGCTGAGTTTTCATGAATGCCTTGGAGTATCTCATCCTTACAGCATGAGCTGTTCAACTATGGAACGAATGTCTTGGGAGGTTTGAAGGCGGTATTAAAGTAAAGACCATTTAAAACGAGATAAGACCTGTGTCCAAGTGGCACACAGGTCCATGTTTCATCAATAGCAGGCTTGTTGCTGTATTAAGTAGAGAGAATTACAAATCTCAGTAGTCCTTTTCAAGCTGAACCATCAACTTTCTTTTTTTATTCTCATGTCGAAACATGACATCTTAGGCTAACCCTGTCGTTCTTAACCAAATCTTCCACTAAATCAGGGTTTGTCAAACTCTGGTCCATGGAAACCTATAGTTCCATAAGAACTTGATGGGATACTGGGAGAGATTAAGGGCAAATAAATAAATAAATAAATAAATAACTGAAACACAGCCAATTTTTCTCTTGATCAGAGATTCCAGAAATCTTTTTCTTAAACTAACAGGTTCCCTGATTTGAAAAAGTTTGAAAAAGCACTAAGTCATGTTACTAAAATAAACAGAATAAGTGGGTACAAGATTTGGTAGTGATAGTGGCAACAGCTGGACCAGCAAGAATCTTCGGTATGGAACACGTTTTCCATTATTTCCTGTAGAATAAGTCCCATAAAACCATCTGGTCCCTGACAGTAAAGATTAATAATAATAATAATAATAATAATAATAATAATAATAATAATAATAATTTAAAAAAAAAA